ACATCTCCAAACTCGGTTGAACCTCCATCACCGCGGTCTTTGGCCGCCCCTCTGACGCCTCCGAGCCCGGTTGCCCCTCCGACATCTCCAAACTCGTCCGCCCCTGCGCCGCCCCGTGGGCCTCCTCCAGGTGCACCCGCTCGTGGGTGATGAGGTTGGAGCTCTGGCTAAAGCGCCGGCCGCAACGGGCGCAACCGTAGGGCCGCTCGCCGGTGTGGGTCCGCCGGTGCTGCTCCAGGTGGGCGCTACGGACGAAAGCCCGTCCGCATTCCCCGCAGCCGTAGGGTTTCTCGCCGGTGTGGATGCGTTGGTGCCGCACCAGGGTGGAGCTCATGCCGAACGCCTTGCCGCATTCGCCGCAGCGGTAGGGCCGCTCGCCGGCGTGCGTCCGCCGGTGGAGGGCCAGGTTGGAGCGGAGGGCGAAGGCTTGCCCGCACTCCCCGCAGGCGAAGGGTCGCTCCTCCCCGTGCGCCCGTTGATGCCGCGCCAGCGCCGAGCGTAAGCCGAAAGCTCGCCCGCACTCCCCGCAGCGGTGCGGCTGCAAGCCCAGGTGCAGCCGCCGGTGTTTGGCCAAGGTGGCCCCGTGGCCGAAGCGTTTGCCGCACTCGCCGCAGGCGAAGGGTTTCTCGCCGCTGTGGCTGCGCTGGTGCTGGATGAGCTCCGAGCTTTGGACGAAGCCTTTGCCGCACTCGCCGCAGCGGAAGGGCTTCTCGCCGCCGTGGGTCTTGCCGTGCTTGAGGAGGTTGGCGCGTTGGGCGAAGCTCTTGCCGCATTGGCCGCAACGGTAGGGTCGCTCGCCGGAGTGGCTGGCTTGGTGTTGGAGGAGGTCGGAGCTACGGTAAAACGCTTTCCGGCACTGGCCACAGGCGTAGGGTCGCTCGCCGGCGTGGGCGCGCTGGTGTTTCACCAGGTTGGTGCTTTGGCTGAAGGCTTTGCCGCATTCGGCGCAGGCGTAAGGCCGCTCGCCGGTGTGGGTCCGGCGGTGCTGGGCCAGGTTGGAGCTCCAACCGAAGGCTTTGCCGCAGTCGCCGCATTTGTAGGGCCGCTCGCCGGTGTGGGTCCGGAGGTGCTGGGCTAGGTGGGAGCGTTGGGCGAAGCGTTTGCCGCACTCGCCGCAGGCGTTGGGGCGTTCGCCCGTGTGGCTCCGCCGGTGACGCTCCAGCTTCGACCACTGGCCGAAGGCTTTGCCGCATTCGCTGCAGATGTAGGGGCGGCCGGCGGGGGGTCCGGCTGCACCGGGAGGTGGGGAGGAGGCGTCAGGGATGGCGGGGGGGCGGGGGGGAACCCTCTTCTAGCCCACCCTGGGACAGGTTGGGGGTCCCAAACGCCGGGATCCCTTATTTTAACCCAGCCTGCGAGGAATTGGGGGTCCCAAACACCAGGATTTCCTCTTCTAGCCCACCCTGGGAAGGGTTGGGGGTCCCAAATCCCAGGATCAATTCTTCTAGCCCACCCCGGGAAGGGTCGGGGGTCCCAAATGCTGGGGTCCCTTCTTCTAGCCCACCCTGTGAGGGGTTGGGGGTCCTGGACGATGGGATCCCCTCTTCTAGCCCACCC